TTTTTGATGAAAATTGAGCTCCAGACACCGATATTAGTTTTCGTCTATCTCCTATAGAAAAGGGTGTTTCCATTTAAAAGCGTCGAATTTGACCCACCCTGTACTTTTATATCCGAGTTTATATCGTTTTTCCCATTTTTAAATGCCTGTGTCTATGTGGCCGTTATCGATATTCCCGTTTATTTAGGTACCAAATGGTGTAGCCCCTCCCCCTATTTTGGTACTTTCATTATTTTTCCAGTGTGCTTTTCAATTAGTAGTAAATACTGTAATAAATTATATTTGCATATTTCTTAAGTTATAGCATGTTTTGCTTTTTAGCTGTTTGCATTTAACCTGAATTATCTACCTTTTTATCAAAAGGTAATAAAAAGTACTTGGGTACAACTTGTCTTGCCATTGTCAATTTTTTTCAGTTTTTCGTAAATTTTATCGAACAGTAAAATTTATTACACAATTAACTACTAACAATCATAATTAATGTTCATGATAATCATAAAATTTAGAAAAAATTCCAAAAAAATTGACAATGGCAACACAAGTTGTATGCAAAGGTACTTTTATTACCTTACGATAAAATTTGGGCCTTCCGGGTAGGTAATTAAAGTAAAATGCAAACATCTATAAAATTTGGGCCATGCTATAATTAAAGAAATATGCAAACATTATATATATATATATATATATATATATATATATATATATATATATATATATATATATATATATATATATATATATATATATATATATATATATATATATATATATATATATATATATATATATATATATATATATATATATATATATATATATATATATATATATATATATATATATATATATATTAAAAAAAAAAATTAACTTATTATATTTATTTAGTATAATTTTTCATATGAGGTTTCCATATTAATTATTAATAATAATTACCCTATTAATTCCATATTCCAAAGAATTAGGATAGAATAATATATGTAAATTATTTTGTTGTAAAATTAACATGAATAAATTAGTATTATAAGATAATGTACTTAACTAAAATCCGTTTTCTATTTCACATTTCAATTCATATCGTATTTATATTTGTAAACAATGAGATATGTTATTAAATAATAAGAAGAAGAAAGTAAATAAATATTGATCAATTATTAAAGACGCCTAAAACTGTTAATCAATAAAACTAGTACTGTATTTTTATTTTTCTACTTGCTATATTAAAATTCTAAATAAAAAATAATATTAATATTTATTTTAAAACTAAGCATAGGAATGATATTGAGTTAATAATATAATTAAACTAAAGTAATTTACCACTTTAAATCGGAATAAAGTTTCCGTATATTTATTACTAATTTACCAATGTCTATGCCAAATCTAATTTTCTACATAATTTAGGCATTGACGTAGGTAACTATGAAACAGGAATAGAATTTTTCCGAGTATTTATTTATTCTAAACACTGACTTTAATGAAATCAAAGTGTAATTTTCCGAATAAGAAAATATTGAGTAAAAGCAAAGGTAAAAGTAATAATTCAATAACGTGTTAATTAACAAAGATTATAAAGATATCAATTTCTTACTATTTCATTATTATTATTCAATATTACTATATAAGTACTATATACAACATTACTTACATTTTTATACTATTTTTAGTACGTCAAGTAGTTTTTTTTTGGTGGGGGAAAAATCTGCAAACCAGAGACCGTAAGTGGTACTGTCGGGGTGGTTGAGGTACCTTATCGACTAAAAAAACCTCCACAAATCGCTTTGAGTATCTCCCCAAGGAATTACCTTTCGGCATTACTTCTGGGGGAGGCGGTTTAAGTGTGATGTTTCAGTTAATTGAGCACTTCAGTGAAAGTTGGATACTTGAGCAGTATGGTATGTACATTAAAATTATTTTTACTTTCCAAACCTTTTGGCTTCGTTATCTTTTGCAGATATCAGTACTTCCATATATTCGAGGACTGCTTTCCAGCTCTCATTTGACTTAAGCATCGTTGGAACCAAGTTGGTGTAAGTTAGTATCTCTGTATTTAGACTCTCCATTTATTTATGCGACCTAATAGATTGTTTGTTAAAAATTAATGGGCTATGGCTATTTTTCATGTAAAATTTTTTGATGCGTCGTTTCTCTACAGAGTTATTTGTAGAGAAGGATGGATCAAAATTACCATAATATCGACTTTCAAAAACGGCAAACAATATATTTTATTAATAATAAATATTAATAAACAGTATACCGGGTGCGTCTCAAAAGTGGCTTACCCCTATAACTTTTTTATTTTTTCAGATAAAAAAACGAGAATTGGTATGTTATAGTCTGTAAAACGAATAACTTTGAATTTGACAGTTCCCGCGGGCTTTTCTAGTGTTAATTTTATTAGGTTAGCAACTTGCGGCCATGCTGACGCAATGCCGTCTCTAATAGAACAGCCTCGGAACGAGATTTATGACGTCACGCTAGTTAGATACTACAGATTAATAAATATGTTGTAGAATACATGGAAAACATAATTATTCCTCGTATTTTTGGTTTGTATTTTAAAAATGATATAGTTTACATGAAATATACATAATATACAGTTAATAAATACAATATATATATACCTATTTATAGTAATAAATACTTTGGCCGATAAACTATGAACCATACAAATGCAGCAAATGTTTTACAATATGGCTGAAATCGTACTCTATAGTCAATGTAGATAGTTTTTGTGTTAAGAATAACAATTTAAAAAAATATGTGGTCATCTTTTGACAAGTTTATATTAGTTTATTAATTGCAGTAAACATTATAATATATAAATAAATTTTGTGAATGCAAATAATAATACATCACTATTAGTAGATATTGAATGTTTTTGTTAAATTAGATCGATTTTCGAACCCCAAAATTTAAAATATATTTTGCATTTTACCCATTATCTTATGTACCACCTATTCATTATTTGTATATTGTAAAACATTTGCTGCATTTGTGTGGTTCATAGTTTATTTGCCAAAGTATTTATTACTATAAATATGTATATATTATATTGTATTTATTAACTGTATATTATGTATATTTCATGTAAACTATATCATTTTTAAAATACAAACCAAAAATACGAGAAATAATTATGTTTCCATGTATTCTCCAACATATTTATTAATCCGTAGTATCAACTAGCGTGACGTCATAAATCTTGCTCCGAGGCTGTTCTATTAGAGACGGCATTGGTCTAATATTTTGAAATGTCAAAAGCTGATGACATTTTACTTTTGTCAATTATGACATTTCGTGTTGATTTTTGCAAGAAGAGGAAGAACTGTCACTTGTTTTATTATTTTCCTTTTCTATTTCACGAAAGTAAAAAGAGTTACCTATCTGATTCATTCAGGCACTCAATTTAAAGAATATCAGTAACTTTTTTGATAGAGGGATTTTATATTTGCCATGTTGGTAAAAAATAACGGTCAAAATTCAAAGTTATTCATTTTATAGACTATAGTATATGACATAAATTAGGATTGATTGACGTATTCAATTGTTTTTGGTCACTTCCTGTTTCGCCGGAAATGACTACAACTTTGATTTTTAAATGGCACCTTCGGTATTTTTTTACTTTATTTGATAGAAAATGACATTCTGAATAGAATTACATATCAGATGTCAACTTTTGACATTGTCGCTTAATAAAAAATTGTATTTTAAAATTCAATCTAGAGTGCCATGGTTACGTTAAAAACACTAATTCTTAATCAAGGAGCCTTCAAAAAATAGATTTGATCGTCTAATCTTTTTAGTGTCTGGTCCTGGCCAGTTAGAAAATGCTAAAATCGTATTTTTAGTCATATCTCAATTTTTTCAAATGGAACGAGGGTGGCTCATTAGCATATTCGGAAAAAGCATTTTTTTACGAATAATTTGGTATTTGACACACTTGGTATTTCGAGTTAAATTTTCGTTACGAACCGCAAGTTATAATTTCAAATAAATAATATGCGAGAATATCAAAAGTTAACATATGATATGTCATTCAATTCAGAGTGTTATTTTCTATCGAATAAAGTAAAAAAATACCGATGGTGCTATTTAAAAATCAAAAGTTGTATAGTCATTTCCGGTGAAACAGGAAGTGACCGAAAACAATTGAATACGTCAATCAATCCTAATTTATGTTATATACTAACATACCAAATATCGTTTTTTTAATTGAAAAAATAAAAAAAATATATAGGGGTGAACCACTTTTGAGACGCACCCGGTATTTCAACATTTCAAATGGTGTAATTCATTAAGCCCCCTCTATGTGATATACCCAAATAGGAGTTCTACTAAAAAACGCCATTATTAAAAGTACAGCGATTAGCAGCTCTAGGTACAACTGTAGCAAAGAACAACACAGCGCAACCTGCGCTAGAAGCAATTCTGGACTTGAAATCAATCGACTGGCTCGTGAAGGATCTGGCCGCTGAGGGTGCCATAAGATTAAGGAAATCCAATCTGTGGAACTAGACCAACTACGGTCAAGGATATTGCCAGTGGTAGGGAAAATCATGGCGAACACGAGTCCACATCTGCTAGCCCAGAAAACAGACTATAAGCTCACCAAACATGATTTTGGAGAAAAGATATTTCGCATCCCAACAAGAGAAAAATGGGAAGCAACCGAGTCATGAACACTCAAGAGATAGCAGTCTACACAGATACTTCCATAACTTCAAGAGGCACAGGTATAGGCATCTTCTCAGAGGAACTAGACATCCGACGTTCTTTAATGCGATCGGATGGCTGTAATGTTCCACAAGCAGGTGTTTATGGAAAAATCGCCGATAGACCAATAGGAGATATTGTGATATATACTCTGACAGCTTTGGCGCTTTAAGAAGCATCACCATGCAATCATCAATCAGTGAGATCGAAAACTGTGATGGACTGCTGAGAAACACTGTCCTGGCTGCGTCAAGGTAGAGCTACTTTGTTCTGGGTGTCAGGCCACAGCAATGTGGTGGACAACCAAGAAAGACAGTCTCGCCCAAGCCCCAACTTCAGTAGAAGCCAACATCAGCGACATCGGGACATCGGGAATTTTGCAAAGAGCTGAAAGTGCTTTAACGCAAAGAAAGAATGAGAGAAAGGTTTGGTACAATAATAAGGCCTCCGAATGAGGGATCACACATGATCTCAAACCCCAGCAACCTAACCTAACCTAACTTAAAAAACGCCATTTGACTAGTGATTTCCACACAACAAACTTCATTTTCTAGAGCAAAACATCAAACATCTTATCAAAAAAGCAATAAAAATAGATGTGAGAAAACCATGCTGAAAACAACATATATTTTTACTTACAAGGTAAATTCATATTTTCACAATAATTTAGGTGAATTACAAGTTTGAAAATTAGCAGATTGAAAAATTAGCAGATTTTATATTTATAGGGATTAAAGACGGGGGGTGAGAGTCGCCTATGGTCTTGACAGAAACAAGGGTACGTCATCCTAAAATACTTTTTATTTTGTTATAAAATAATAAATCTATATAAAGTTGCATATGAAATGAAACAATTTTATTAAGTATATCTGCATGTGTAGTGAATAAATATAAATATTCAAAGCGACTTCGGACATTTAATTCGCCCTATTCCATGATAATCAGCTTCATTATAAACCGCCTTCGTTTGTTAGAACTCTTGACATCAAATATAAATCTTCATTGTCCACGTATTTTGTTCGGCCATGACTTAACAAAGCAAGAAAATATAAATAAAATCATCTTATTGTTAAGGTTCTGACAGTACCTCGCCTAGCAGCCGTACCCACCCTTCGAACAAAAAGCGGCAGCCATCGCGTCACGGCCTAACTCATGCTGAATTTATAAATATCCACTTCCTGCATTTAAAAGTCCGTGTATGCACTGTTAACTATAAAAAAGTAAGTCCTGCAGGTCAACATTTTCAATACGAATTAAATGATTAGGCCGACACAAATTAAATGATTTTGTTTGGTAAATATTCAGTTATATTATTTATGTTTATTTTTTTTAGATTATCCAGACTGGACAGAATAAGAAACAAAAAAGTTTCTATGGTATGGAAGTTAATCACCGCGACTTTATAGATCTATTGTGTCCCCTTTTCTTGAGTTATAACTCTGATACAGTCTCAAATCTCATGTATGTCCTCAAATCCAAGGAGGCAATAGAGAAAGAGTCTTTTTGTCAGTCAGTATATCCCGAGCCTTGGAAAAATAGATTTGATCGTCTAATGTTTTTAGTGTCTTATCCTGGCCTGCTAAAAGATGCCCAAATCGTATTTTAAATCATATCTCAATTTTTTCAAATGGAACGAGGGTGGCTCGTTAGCATATTTGGAAAAAGCATTTTTTTACGAATATTTTGATATCACACACTTGGTATTTCCAGTAAAATTTTCGTTATGAACCGCATGTTTCAATTTCAAATAAACCATAGCAAAAATGTCAAAAGTTGACATATGATATGTCATTCCATTCAGAGTGTCATTTTCTATCGAATTAAGTAAAAAAATACCGAAGGTGCCATTTGAAAATTAAAAGTTGTAGCCATTTCCGATGAAACCAGAAGTGACCGAAAACAATTGAATACGTCTGTTAAGGAAACTTAATATTTTTTATAAAATTATTTTCTTTTATGTCATTTCTTAGATTAAGATTAATTATTTTTTATTTTATTTCTTTAAATTTTAAATTGCCGCACTTATACCTGCTTCCTGCAACATTAGTGTACGCATGCCCGAACATTAGGAAGTGTAGCACACAGTCTATTACAAACCGTCGTACGACGAAATTGGTCAGCTAACCGGTACGCGCCGAAAGTCTGAACTTAAAAGTTAAATCCCTTCAAAGACGATTCATGTTAGTGTATGTGTGAAAATTAGCGCTGAGAAGATCAAGATCGAGAAGAGGGCCCTCTGAAGCTGTCTGAGACGACCATTAAAGGTAGGAGCAGGTTCTATTTCTCTGTGCGGTTTCTCCCAGCTATTAACGTAATTTACATTGATAAAATAAGACCAGTCAAACTAAAATTTAAAATTAATACAGTCCACAACTGCATTTCTGCACATTTTTGGTCCATACATAGCCGGATTTTATTTTATAATTCTTTTTAATATCAGTTTTCAATTTTGTGATTTAAAATCCATACATTCCACATATACCAAGCCATATAGTTTTTTGGTTCAATTTTTGTACGAGCGCGCAGCGATACAAATACGCACCAATTTACTTGGTGTCGTAGAATTGTACTATCGTATTGTACTGTCACAATTGTACTTAGTACATTTTTTTATATAGTTTCACATTTGTTTATAAACAATATTTTTTACTGATATTAATTCTTGCAGTTTTACCTGAACTCAATTATTATTATTTTAGTTTTAATATTATAATTGCATTTATTCAAAATCAGATATAATATTAAAATATTTTCACTATGTCAGATAAAATTTCTAAGTATGATTTAAAACGAACAACAGCGTTTAACCGTTTAAAAGAAACTTATGACATTGGTGTTGCAATATCTAGTGACAACTCTCAAAATCGATATTTTTAGCTAGAGTAGAGACTATTGACAAGGTGTATGAAGATTTTATGCTTATCACAATCAAATTATTTCTCTCATATCAGACGAAGATTTTAAAAAATATGATGCTTTACGTATATCAGCTGACAACGCATTCTACGGATCTAAGGCTATAAAATATCAAATTGTAGGTGACAGTTCTTTGACAAATAATTCGACCAATGTTTCCACTCCTAAAATTACTGCAAAATTACTAGAGATGAGCAGAAAATCGCAAACTGCGATTTAATCGCAGCGATTGTAAATTCGCAATCACAACCTGTGATTCCTTTCCATAGCAAACTGCGACTTGCGATTGAAACATATACCTGCCGATTTTGGATTTTTAGGCAACCAATATTACATCAGTTGCGATTTGCAATCGCAGTGGGCACGCGAACGAAGAGCTGCGAACGAAAATCACAGCATTGCGATTTTCGTTCGCACCGGTGTTGCATCGACACGGCACTGAGAAGCCGAACGATGAGCTGCGAACGAAAATCGCAATATTGCGATTCTCGTACGCCCCGGCCGGCGGCGGCGCGTCTTCAACATGGCAGTGGACAGGCGAACGAGGAGCTGAACGAAAATCGCAGCTCATGCCAGCATTGCGATTGCGATTTTCGTTGGCACCGGCGCGGCATCGGGAGTGGGCACACCAACGAAGAGCGGCGATTGCGATTTTCGTTCGCAGCTCCCAACACATCGGCCTAGACTAGATCGCAAAATCACATTCGCAATCAGGGCCCCGTAATTTTTATGAAGCGTTGGAAAATTGGCTTATATATGTTTATATACCGCATAATATATATAATTTATTAGTTTTAAATTTTGATAATAGTTTTAGATTTATAATATAAAATTCTTGTTTTCGGTTATGACTAATTATAGTTACAGTTGCTCCCAGGTAATGATTCAGGTAAAATGATTCATAAGGACAGTTTTGGATTCAAATTATAAAAAAATATCTATTTTTATCCTTTATTTACTAAAAGATATAGAGCACGGAAAAGAAACAGCCCTTTTTATTTATTATATTTTGTTATATATTATATTATTATAAACATTTTTATAACAATCCATAATATAATATAATTTTCTGAATATACTAACAGTTGTGGATCGGCTGCTATGTTAATTTAAATACATCCTTTACAATCAGTTTTTTCATTTTAGAGAAATTTTAAATATAAAAAATGTGATATTGTCCTTTTATTTATCTAAAAGTTCGAAAGTTTGCACTTGCACTGGACCTGGACTGGTATCAAAGCCGTCGGCGTCGGCTTCTTTTGAGTTACATATAAAGAAAATGTTTTTAAAAGAAAACAAGATAAAATAAACAGTTTTTTTTTCTAGTTATCTGAATTAAGGTTGGCGGCAACCTTTTTTATAATAAATTTTTCGTTAGTATACCTACTGTCTAAAAGCACATTCAAATATTTTGAACATTTTATGTATTTTTAATTTCCCTTTTAAATTTATTCGGTCTGTTCTAATCAAAAATGTTTAAAAAAAGGAAACTAAGTTATTTGTGGATTTTTTTTTGGTAGATAATTGATGAAAATTTTAAGTGCAATATGTGTGCAGCAAAAATATCATAAAAAACACGCACTACAAATTTTAAAAGGCACATGGCATCGAAACACCCAACAGTTTCTTTGTAAGTTTTTATTAAAAAAAAATATTCCGCTATTTATTCTGTTTTTTATTAGAAATTTTGGGATTGAGCTTCCCAGATTACAGCGTACCAATTTAAAAATATCAAAATCGCAATCGCAGGTTACAGTCGCAGCGATTTATAAATCACAATCGCAGTTTTGCTCATCTCTAAAAATTACCGAAAATTACTCTTCCTATATTTGAAGGCGATTTCAAAAGTTGGTCTGGATTTTTTGATCTTTTTAATACTTTAATACATGAAAATTCACAATTGTCAAATGTAGAAAAGTTCCAATATTTACTAACGTCATTGGGTAAAGAACCTCTATCTGTAATTAAAGGACTTCCAGTCACTGAAAATAATTATACAGTTGCTTATACTGCTATTAAAAATCGATATCAAAATAAAAGATTGTTGGCTACTTATCATTATAATGAAATCTGTCAAGCTGGACAGGTCAGAAAAGGAACTTGTACTGAACTTAGAAACCTTTTAAATATTTTTTCCGAAAATATTTCTGCGCTACGCGTTTTGCAATTTCCTGTTACTCATTGGGATTTTCTCTTATTTAATATGTTATTGCAAAAATTAAATGTTTCTATTAGGACTGATTTTGAAGTTCAAAATACTGTCGAAATTCCGACATATTCAGATTTAACACATTTTTTGGAAAATAAATGTAAAGCCTTAGAGTCAGTTCAGTTTACTACTTCATACAATAATGAACATTATAAGGATAAGAGCAAACAATCGTATCAATCCTCTAGTTTTTCATCTAATAAAAAATCTTCAGAAATTAAAACTGGTTATCCAGCCTTTATGACAACAAGTAATAACAATGCCACACCATATCAATCTAATAAGGGGGACAAACTGAAATGTGTACTGTGTTCATCTTCACATGCATTATACAGATGTTTTTCCTTTCTTTCAAAAACACCGCAGGACCGGTTAAACTTTGCTAAACAACACAATTTATGTACAAATTGTTTGTTATCTTCCCATTCTGTACGAAAATGCAATTCTTTTTTAAATGTAAAATTTGTGGATCTCCTCATCACACATTATTGCATCTGGATAAAGCTATAGATAGTTCTTCATCTAATACTCCAGTCAATTCAAATTTCAATCACACTGATGACCGTGCAATCCTAGAGTCAACTCCTGGCCCTTCTGTCAGTGCTATGGCGAGCACGTTATCTACTAAACAATCTACGGTTTTATTATCTACAGCCATTGTCGACATCAAAGATATTCGGGGAAACTTTCAACAAATTCGAATTCTCTTTGACTCCGCTAGCATGGCTAACTTTATTACAGAAAAATGTGTAAATCGTCTTGGATTACCACGTAAACGCTTTTCTATTCCCATTGAAGGACTTAATGGAATGTCGGCGCAAACAAATCAGGGCGTCACACATTGTACGATTAAACCATGTAATGATTCTAATCCTCTATTCTCTTTTGATAGTATCATTTTACCGAAAATTTGTTCTGACCAACCTAAGATAAATATAAATCCTTCGTCTTGGACACATATCCAGAATCTTAAATTAGCTGATTATTCATTTCATAAACCAGGTCCTATTGACCTTTAATTGGTGCTGAATTGGTACCTCATATTCTACGTCGGGACGGATTTTAGGTGAACCGGGTCAACCTGTTGCTTTAGAAACAATTTTCGGATATATTCTTCAAGGCATGGCAGTTTCTGACCATGTACCATTAAATAATACAACTCTGCTAAGCTGTCATACTTCTATTGAAAATAACTTAGATATTCAGCTTCAAAAATTTGGGAAGTTGAGGAAATTCCTAAAATTTCTAGCCTGTCTACTGAGGATGTCCAGTGTGAGGAAATTTATAGATCGCTAACTTATAGAGATCAGTCTGGCAGATTCTGTGTACCTCTTCCGTTTAAAATACCGAATCCATTCTTCCGTAATACATGTTATCAAGCTCGTCGACTATTTACATCACTAGAGTTCCGGCTTGCTAAAAATCCAGAGCTTCGTAAAGCTTACTGTGAGTTTATGCAGGATTATCTCAACAATGGACATATGGTATTGATCCCTCCGGAAGACTATAACTCTCCTACAGCTTACTACATACCTCATCATTCTGTTATAAAAAATGAGATATCTGGACCTAAGCTTAGGGTGGTTTTTAATGCTAGTTTTCGAGACACGAATGGAACATCTCTCAATGATTCTTTATTTATAGGACCTAAGTTACAACAGGATATTGCTTCTATTCTTTTAACTTTTAGATTTCATCTATATGTTTTTATTTGTGACATTAAGCAAATGTATAGACAAATTCTTATTCAACCACAATTTCAAAACTTTCAAAGAATCATATGGCGTTTTTCTTCAGATGAACCAATTCAAGAATACAAACTGCTCACAGTGACATACGGGGTATCGTCTGCTCCATATTTAGCTCTTCGAACACTGCAAGAACTTGCTAATCAGGGAGAGTCTCATTTTCCTTTAGCTGCAAAGGCAATAAAGAAAAATATTTATATAGATGACGCAATTTGTGGTGCAAAGATCTAAATTCTGCTCTAAGTTTGCAACACGAACTTGTTGATCTTATGCGTACTGGGGGGTTCGAATTGAGAAAATGGGCAAGTAATCAACCTGATTTGTTAAGCCATATTCCTCCTTCTGATGTACAAATGTCTTGTAGCTTTGACAAAGAAGAACCCTCGTTCATTAAAGTTTTAGGTCTAAAATGGTGTCCAAAATCTGACGAGTTTACTTATTCTTTTAATCCAGTTGATCGCCAATGTACTAAACGGAATATACTTTCCGAAATTAGTAGAATATATGACCCTATTGGTTTTATTTCCCCAGTTATTCTATTAGCAAAATGTCTTCTACAAAAACTCTGGGAATCTAATATATCTTGGGATGAAACTCCTTCTACAGATATATTGCAGGTCTGGAATAGGTATAAATCCGAACTATCCCAACTAGCTGGAATTAGAATACCTCGACGTGTAATTTCTGATAATATTTCTTGTATGGAACTGCACGGTTTCTGTGATGCTTCCCAAACTGGTTACGCAGCCGTCATATATTTTCGGACTATCAATGATAGTGGTCAAGTCAGTACCTTTTTGGTCACTGCTAAGTGTAAAGTGGCTCCATTAAAAATTGTTTCATTGCCTCGTCTAGAGCTCTGTGCAGCTGTTTTATTGGCGGATTTGCTTACTTTTGTTACTACTACTTACGCAGATTATCTCTGTTTTAATTCCATATATGCATGGTCTGATTCGACTGTCGTTTTAGCCTGGTTAGCTGCCAGTCCTCATAAATGGAAAACTTTTGTAGCTAACAGAGTAAGTCATATCCAAGGCAAAGTTTCTAACACTTCCTGGCGTTATGTTCCGTCCAGTGACAATCCTGCAGATTGCGCATCTCGTGGTTTAACTGCATCTCAACTCTTAGAACACAAAATTTGGTGGCGCGGTCCAAACTTTCTTCAACATTGCAACCGAGATGTCTGGCCTGCTCAACCTCATTTAGAAATGTGTGAATCTGTCTACAGTGAAGAAAAACAAACATCTCTCCATGTTTCATTAGAAGAAGATATCATATGCGATCTGCTACACAAGTTTTCTTCGATACGTAAAATTCAAAGAATTTTAGCCTATGTTTTAAGATTTTTCCTTAAATCTAAAGATTCACTGCAAAGTAAAACCTCTTTTATTTCATCTTCTGAAATGCGTAAATCATTGATTTATATTATTCGACATGTTCAACGAAAGACCTTTTCAGACATTATAGATAAAATTCTATCAAATGCTTTACTTCCTAAACCTTTTCGGAAACTCGCACCTTTCTTGGACTCGGAAGGTCTTGTCAGGGTGGGTGGCAGACTTAATAATAGCAACTTCACTTACGATGTAAAACACCCTATATTATTGCCTAAATCACACAGACTTACTGATTTGATTATTGAGTGGATTCATCAAGCAAACCTTCACCCAGGTTTAAAGACATTGCACTGTTTAATCCTTCAACAATTTTGGATACATCTCCACGAAGTTCTATATACAAATGTTTAAATCGATGTATTCGTTGCTTTCGCTGTAAACCTAAATCATACAATCCTTATATGGCTGACTTGCCATCGTTACGTATTTCACAATTGAAGGCTTTTTCGTCCATTTGTATTGATTTTGCAGGTCCCTTTTCTCTAACAATGCATCGATACAGAAAAGCCAAGATCTATAAGGGATATGTTTGTGTTTTTGTATGCTCAGCTACCAAAGCAATACATCTTGAAGCTACTTCAGACCTTACTTCTGAGGCTATTTTGGCCGCTTTTAAGCGTTTTGTTTCGCGTCGTGGCAGATGTTCTTTTACTTCTAGTGATCAAGGTACTAATTTCAAAGGTGCCAGCAACCAAATGCTTCAATTCGCCCAGGTTGCGGCTCAAGTTTTATCCATTACTTGGAAATTTAATCCACCCGGCAGTCCTCACTTTAATGGCCTGGCCGAAGCCGGTGTAAAATCTATGAAATCTCATTTATATCGAACAATCGGCTCTCAGATTTTGACATATGAAGAATTCTCCACTATTCTAACCCAAATTGAAGCAGTGCTGAATTCTCGGCCATTATCGGTTATAAGTGCCGATCCCAATGATTTACAACCATTAACTCCCGGTCACTTTCTGACCTTAGAACCTTTAACAATTGGTTTTCCAGAATCTGATCTGACCTCTATCCCTCTTAATAGATTGTCAAGATGGCAACTAATTCAACGTATGCATACTGATTTTTGGAAACGTTGGTCTCAGGAGTATGTACATTTAATGCAAGAACGGCATAAATGGACCGAACCTACTCCTGAAATAAAATTGAATTCATTAGTTCTGATCAAACATGAAACAAAATCTCCGTTATCTTGGGAATTGGGTAGAGTCATAAAGCTTCATCCCGGAAAAGACAATATTGTTCGTGTAGTTACAACTGCACATGGGATATTACAAAGGCCAGTTGTCAAAATTTGCCCTTTACCTGGCAACTAATAAGGTAAAATAATTCTTTATACATTTTTTTTATTCTTAACTTTGCATTATTATTTCTTTTTTCCTTTATCTTATTTTTAAAAACATATGTTTTGGTGGGTGGAATGTTAAGGAAACTTAATATTTTTTATAAAATTATTTTCTTTTATGTAATTTCTTAGATTAAGATTAATTATTTTAATTTCTTTAAATTTTAAATTGCCGCACTTATACCTGCTTCCTGCAACATTAGTGTACGCATGCCCGAACACTAGGAAGTGTAGCACACAGTCTATTACAAACCGTCGTACGACGAAATTGGTCAGCTAACCGGTACGCGCCGAAAGTCTGAACTTAAAAGTTAAATCCCTTCAAAGACGATTCATGTTAGTGTATGTGTGAAAATTAGCGCTGAGAAGATCAAGATCGAGAAGAGGGCCCTCTGAAGCTGTCTAAGACGACCATTAAAGGTAGGAGCAGGTTTCTCATTTCTCTGTGCGGTTTCTCCCAGCTATTAACGTAATTTACATTGATAAAATAAGACCAGTCAAACTAAAATTTAAAATTAATACAGTCCACAACTACATTTCTGCACAACGTCAATCAATCCTAATTTATGTCATATGCTATCATACCAAATTCCGTTGTTTTATCTTAAAAAATAAAAAAAGTTATAGGGGTGAGCCACTTTTGAGACGCACGCGCACCCGGTATGCTTATTCACCGTGTGGTGAATCGGAACGCGGGACATAGGAAATCCCATCTAAATTTTGAAAAGGTCAAATATTATCTCCCCAGATCATTTTATGCAAAAATTGTTTGAAGAGACGTTAAAGTTGTACTATCGTCTCAGAATTTCGTTTTATTTGGAATAGGTATCTAAAAGTTATTTGCAGAAATCTACCTTCAAATTACTAAAAATTTATAGTATGGACCAGGGAAAGCTACAATTAAAATACCAGCAAAAATAAGATTTTGTCATTGTCAAATTCGATGTCACATTTTTTTTGTTTACAAGAATTTCTGTGGTTGGAAAAAGGCGGTTAATTTTTTTCTGAATTGGAATGGTGTGACTGGTTTGCTGTTCATTACTCGATCATTCGCAGGCCTCGCTCGTACCACATATATCCACAATAATTCAAGGGAATCAAGGGATAATCGAAATATTTGTAACACAAGGAACTTTATTAAACTATACTAATTAATAAAATGTATACATAATTCCCCATTCACAACCAAACATTTCAAACAATACCCCAAATGATTGTGAAATTCAGGCCTCACAATACAAAACTGTTAAGGGGAGAATCTTTAGCTTTCCACAGAGGTATAGTTTTCAGTCTATCTAAATTTCTGTGTTTAATATGTCCATAAAGACGGTTTTTGAGTGTGCCCAGGAAGAAGGCGTCCGGCGAAAAATTCTGTGGTCTTTTCCTACTGTATTCCCAATAAATGGGAGTCAATGTTATTCTTTACTGCGACATGAAGATTATTAAAGTCATTGTTATTTTTTTGCTGTTCGATTATTTTTGTCTTCGCACTTCCATGTCCTTAATAGTACTTTAGTGCCTTTAGATACAAACCTCCGGTTTATTCTTTAAACTGTTGACTTGTTTTGCTTTCCGGAGACTGAGTTGCAAACATGTCTATTTCCAGCAAATGCAAAATTTTCAGAAGGTGCAATATTTAAATTATTTTATACAAAATTACTCTGTTTGGTACCCTCAAATTTTTGTAAACAAAATGTGACATCGAATTTGACAATGACACAATCACACTTTTGCTAGTATTTTAATGTAGCTTTATCTGGGCCGTATTATAAATTTTACTAATTTGAGGGTAGATTTTTACAAATAACTTTTAAATGGCTATTTCAAATGAAACGAAATTCTACAAAATAGTACAACTTTAACGCCTCTTCAAAAAAAGTCAAAATTAACATGGGATTTCTTATGCCCCGAGTTACGGTACATTGGTTACCTATTTATATGTTTAATATGTTTTATTGGCTTCTGCTGCAACAACTGTTAGTTTTTTGTTAGACGGGTAAATATCTGCATACGGAGACCTGTAATTACTCTATCAGACAAAGGAAACGGCGGGACACGAAAATACCCCTCTTAAGCCCCCATTTTAAATGTGAGCGAGCCGCTTGGGGCATCCGATTTTAACTCGAACTGTGTGCATTAAACCATATGCCTGTGCCCACTTCCCAATGGTTGTACTTAAATTGATGAAAATACGCGCCAGTTCGCGTACCGCAAGCTGCTATGTAACACGTACGTACATACATCGTACCTTCGTCACTGAGCAGCACCTGTTATTCAGAACGCAAAAACTTTTTGAAAGTAGATACATAAAGTATCGACGGAACCTGTTTTCCGTATAAATTTTACTCCTAACACGCTACTGCTACCTATACCTACATTTTAGATCGCAGATAAGAACGGACTGGAAGGGAACTGATTTATTTTGATGGTCTGAATAAAAACGCTTATAAATAAATATAGATCAATTCGATGGAATTATTGAAACA